TCAAAATATTAAGTTATCTTGTGCACATCAGTGTGAACCCTGTGAGTCATCTTAATCTGGCTGAGCTTCGACATGAAGTTCCACATGGAAAATAACAGAACTTGAATAATTGGTTCATCTGAAAAGTTTTAGCAGCCGTTCCTGCCTCAGCAGAAACACCCACAACGTGGTCAACACATTCACAGAGGATTTCCTCCTCCTCCCTCTCATCTTCCTCCTCCTCTACTTGGTGATGAACAGACACACACACATGCAATGATACAACACACTGATCCACATGCCCTTTCGCAACAAGCTGTAGAGTATCTAGAAAACAAACATGCTCTATCTGGCTATGATGGGATCTATGCTAACTATTTCACTAAAGCTTTTAAAGTTCTATGATGAACTTGATAATAAAAGGATCCTCTATTCCATTTATGGTAGATTCAGGTGCAGCAAACTGTTCTGACAACGAAAGACTGGCCATCTGGCGTTAAGCTGAGTGTTAGATTCAATCTGTCTCAGGTTGCAAGTGGTCAGGTAAAGGAACGCTTTTCTGTTCCTCTGTCCTGCTCCAATTTGTTGTACACTTACCAGTGGCTCTCCACTGACCTAGGAGTAAATATTGATCTATTGACACAGGTCAAGCAATAGGCTCTTAGTTCTGACAAGTTCATGTCTCCCTCCTCCCTGCATTGCACCTTACAGGTCTCTTCTGGTCCTGATGCATCATATGAGATTGTGTGGCTTTCACATCCTGTCACACTGCTTGCAGTGACTCATTTAGTATGGTCTCATACACGCTCTTTCCTCTTGTTGTCACTTAAATCAACACAATGCTCACTCTTTGATGTTGCTGATATGCGCCCACATGTTTCTAAGTCATCACAGATGCAGTGGAAAGATCTCACAACGTACAGCAGAGGCTACAGACTGGATGCCTGCTCCATCTGTAGCAACTCTTCCTTTGGTTGAGTATTCTCCTTCCTTCTCTCTCCTCTCACTTCTTCTCTCATTTACCAAGTTGACACACGGGTTGGACCATGTGTCAAGAGGGGGATGATAAGCATGGTGGAAGCCTCCTGGTTTTTAACAGGTTTTACAGCTCATGCAGAAAACTTCTGCAAAAGATGCATGATTTGTGCCACTAACAATCCTCACAGGCAACACAAACAGGCTCAAGCAGCACACCCTCCACCTGAAGGCCCTTTTCAACATTTGATGGTAGACTTCACTGAACTTTCCCCATCTGATGGAAAGAAATATTGCCTTGTGATTGTGGACATGTGGTCAACATGGGTTGAGGCATTTCCAACCAAACATGCCTCAAATAATGCAGTGGCAACGTGGTGCTCATGAAATCATCCCTAGATGGGGAATTCCCCTCAAACTGTTAGTGACAAGGGTCCTCATTCTGTGAGTGCAGCACTAAGTGATCACATCAGGAGGTGGCGTGGAACAAGAAAATGGCACACTAAAACGGAAACTTTTGAAAACGTGTGAAGACACAGGTCTGTCATGGACAAAATGTCTCCCCATTGTACTGATGTACATGCACATGCGTGTCAGGGCCAGATCTAATCTTAGTCCTTCTGAGACCCTGTTTGCTTGCCCCCCAGACCCGGGCCTGGTCGACAGACCACCCCTCTAACCTTCCCACAGTGAACATGCAATGATGTCTTATTGTTTCGTTCTCTTGACAATTTTGTCACAGATCTCTTCTCAGGTTGCTGCAGCACTCCTGGCTCCAGCCACAGGACCCCTGCCTGTATTCCAGCCCGGTGACTGGGTGACTGTATAAATGCTTCAACATTTCTTGACTCTGGAGTCACTTGTTCAGACTCTGCACTGTGCATGTCATTCCCTTGCTGCAAGTAAAACATTGCTTTGACTTGAAAGATACTCTGTGTGCTGATTTGGAGCAGTTAGGACTCCACTGAAGAATTTTCCTAACAAATTCCAAACATTTAATCATTTCAAGATGAAAAAAAAACACAAGCCAGACCAATTCGTATTTATTAGTTTTGACTTGACATAAAGCCAGTCTAAAATAACTTGAAATTAATAATGTTTACCTGAAATTGCAAAGAAAATAATAGTATTTCCAGTAACTTCTTGTATAATGTTTTACAGTGTCAGCACAGTTATTATGACAAGATATGTGTATACTGTGGTTTCTACTTACAGGAAGACTCCCAGGACGCTGCAGATCAACCAGGTGAGCATCCCGTTTTTACACTCAGTTCTTGTCACGACAGTGTTTCTACAGTGGGGACACATCATCTGTCCAGGAACATCAGTTGGCAGTCGCTGCACCACAACCACCTGGCTCACTGTGTGCACGACAAAACACTGTCACTGAATCTGAAGCTCTACAGTTTGTGCTACATTTTTAAAAATCCATTAGAACAGTTGTAGAAAGACACTCACCAGGCTGTACCATCTGAGGTTGCTGTGGGCTGTACTGGTAAGTCCCCACTAGACATACAAAAAGAGACATTTAACTTGGGAAAAAATAAAATAGAAGAATTTAACACAGACTGACCAAGAGCACCTGTCACATGGACTTACGTTATAGGAATAACTGATTAAATAAGAGTTACAGTACAGAAAAGGATCTAGACAGGTGACAGTCCCTGACTTCTTACCAGGTTGGGCAGTGGGCTGGAAAGTGGGCTGAGGTTGGTAACCCATAGGAGGACCGGGGTACGGCGGTGCTGGCGTACCCATAGCAGGTGGCTGACCCTTTTCCATGATATCTGTCTCAAGGAGCTGCAGAAAAACAATTTAAAAGAGGCTATATTAAAGATTTTTAATCCAAAACAAAGGTCTTTTGATCACTCTGAGAGAAGGAAAGTGGTTCAAGTCAGGCGGTCAGGCTAAGGAGCGGGTTTGGGTCCAGACTGAAACTTGACATTGCTTTTCTGGAAACTATCAAAACTTGCTGATCCAGTTTTTAAGCAATGAATGGATGAGTCTGATACAACACTATCTGCATGCACACAAGCAAGCAAGTTTGGTGGCTTTCCATTGTTTCATCGTAAAACAGCAGCTTGTCAATCATGGAACAAAAGACACCTGTAAGTGTAAGTGAGAGTTTCTGTCCCCACATGACCACAAGTCACATTTCTCCAGAGGCCAGATTTAGGTCAGTTGTTCTCACTTGTTTCAGCAAATAGCACAAATAGCACCACTAAAAAGAGAATGTTTTGTGTTAAATGTATTTGAATGTAAAAGACTTCACACACACACACACACACACGCACACACACACACACCTACACACACACACACACACACCTACACACACACACACACACATCTGTAAACAATGAATGCAAACAAGCCTTGATGATCACATTTGCATTAAAACTTTCTTCGCACCTGCAGAGGGGTGCTGGCCGATCGGATTTTTTATCTGCATACTTGTCTGTGATGTGTGTGCAGGGAAACACACCTCAGTTAGAAAGACATCCCAACTGTGTGTGTGTGTGTGTGTGTCAAGCAAACGTATACAAATAGAGAAATGCTGTAGGTTGTGCGCAACAGTGAGTAGTTGTAAACACAACGCACATTATTCAAAGCAGACATTTTAATTTGTTTGAGAAGGAAATGTGAAACAAATCATGGCCCAGTTCCGTCATGTTTTCCGATAAGCCATGGCAATGACCCAACATGCTTCATACTGGAACCAGTTTCAGTGCTGGAACAAAAATGAAAGGCATCTGCTTTTAATGTGATCAGCTATATGGGTGCCTTTACTGAGAGTTCATGCAAAAACATCTGCTCGAACAAGATTCCAGGGGACATGAAAAAACTGTTCACTGATGCTGCACATTTAATCTGCTCCGGAAGAGGTTCTGTTCAGAGTTTAGGATTTAAATCAGCTGTAAAACGTGTCTCTCTTTCGCTCACCTGTTTCCTGGCGATTTTGTATGAGTGAAACTAATTGTCAGCTGGGGGAATACGTTAAAGCTGCACCTGATGAACTGTATGTTACTGATACCCCTGAATGAAGCCATGTAGCTACAGTATCGCACACTACTTCCACATTATCCTACATGTATTCACTTGGCGAAGCAGAAAATGCATAACTATGTTTTTATGTTTGGTCCTGCTTTGCTGCCCAGTTTATTTTACACTGCTGGTACTGCAACTGACACAATACAGATTAGGAAACTGGTTAGTCTACTGGTATTAACTACAGTGATGTTAAAAAAACAGAGATAAAAGATGTGATATTGTGGGACAGTGTCAGCTCTAAATGGATTTCTTCAATTTAATATTTACATGCATAAAGTTTAAAGTTGAACATCTCTAATGTGCAGGTGTGACTTTAGAAATAAGCAACTGTCTTGATCAGTACACATATGGTTATCAGTTTTCCACCAGCATTCCTCTCCTGCATCATTTGAAGTAATAATGCTGCTTTTGATGTTAATCTGTTTTCACATTCTGCAAAGCTCTCCATTACAACAACCTATTCCCCTGACTGAAGAAGGCGGCATCTGATTGGTCCATCTTGTGCAAAAGGTGAATCACATGATGCGGTAAACGCCCCATTTAATGTGAAAGCAAACCTGAGTTAACAAAGAAAGTTAAAAAAAGCTAACGTCTTGATATCTGTAATTTCTGATTTAGTTTTTTTGTTTATTTTTTTTGATAGCTAGCTAGCTAACTAACTAGATACTTTATTCATCCCTGTGGGGAAATTCGAAGTATCCAGTAGCTCACACATGTTACATACAGGACAGACAAAGGAATAATGTGCAAAAGAGCATGCAATTGGCGTGCAAATCGCGCTGGTCAAAGAAACAGCAATAACTCATGAAGGTTCCCCTTTTGTACATTGTTCTTTTTCCAGCTAGGTGCATTGTTGCACGTAAAACAAAAACTACTGACAGACACTTTAAAAAGATTTAAGAAACATGCAACACCGGAGCTACACGGACTTGCTGCCACACAGGGTGGCGCACAGGAAGCAGCTCTGGCTTACACAAACAAAGCCTGGTTACGTCCAACTCGCTTCATGGTTCAGCCCTCAGATGTACCCAAGAGTGCATTGACAAGTTGAAGTTTGCCATTATAAGTGATTGGGTAAATAACTGCAAGCCTGCAGCCGGTGATTGGTCCCTGGTCGCTTCAGGAATACAATTCTGTTGTATGGTGAGTTTGTTTGTTATGGAGTTCATAAGGGTGGACAGCAGACATTTTTATGTGATAGTTTTTTTTCCTGTTTTTTGTATTCAAGAAGGCAAGTGGTTGTATTTTAGTTTGTTTCTTTCAGTTTGGTTATCTTACTTCAATTAGTGTTGCTGTTTTGTTTTTTGCTGTTGTTGTGGTCGTTCATCTACCCTGAGATAAAGACTCAAGTACTCATGCTTGTAAATTGTAATTAGCTATCTACCACGTGCAGTCTGTAGCTGCTTGGGAAGATGGGTACCATTCATGTTATGTCTCAGTGACCCCTCGATAAGGGGTAACAGTAGTCTAACTACATTTCTTAGCAGCAGAGTGGCAACAGTGCTGTTTTATGAGTTAAACAGCTTTTTAGAAGTAAAGCTCTTTTACTGATTAGACAGTGTCTGCACACTCGTCCCAAGTATTTCAGTACATGATACCGCCACCATACACAAACATACACCAACCAGCCCCAGCATTAAAACAACTGGCAGGTGAAGTGAATAATATGATTAACTCATTATAATGCAGTGTTCTGCTGGAAAACCTTGAGTCCTAGCATTCATGTTGATGTTACTTTCACAACACATCTAAATATGACTGCACACCCACATTGTAACAGAACTCCCTGATGTCAGTAGAGATAAAACACTTGCCACTCCACAGAAACTTCTCTGGAATGCCCTGAGTAATCCAACAAAAGAGTCTAAGGCAATAACCCGGCCTTCATACTCTCCACATTCCAAAGAACCTTAGTATTCATGGGACACACTGAAACAAATCCCACAACCCAAAGGCTCCGGTACCAGCTTCCCCACGCCAAACACCACCAATACCCTAAAGATCCCAAGTTCATGTCTGGGTCATAGCTGTTTTAAACTACTCAATATTACACAGGTGGTTTTAATTATCTGTATTTGCTAGCTGACAGAAAAACTTTCATAAGACTATGACACCACAATCCGTTGTGTCCTTAGGCAAGACACTTCACCTTGCCTGGTGTGAATGCGTATGAATGCTTGAGGTCGGAGGGGCCGTAGGCGCAGAATGGCAGCCATGCCTCTATCAGTGTGTCCCAGGGCAGCTGTGGCTACAATCGTAGCTACCACCACCAGAATGAATGTGTATGAATGAATAATTGACAGTGTAAAGCATCTTTTTTTATATATATATATATTTTTTTGGCTTTTGCCTTTATTTAGTGCAGTAGAGGGAGACAGGAAAGGGGGGAGAAGAATGGGGACAGACCTGCAGCAAAGGGTCGTGAGCGGGATTCGAACCCACGACCGCTGCATCGGGGAACTACAGCCCCTGTTCATGGGCCGCCCGCTCTACCAGGTGAGCCCGTGTAAAGCGTCTTTGAGTGTCCAGAAAAGCGCTATATAAATCTGATCAATTATTAAAACCGGTAATTAGTAAAAGGTTAAAGCTGTAATACTTCCAGTAATGTGTGATTTTGGGCTTTCATTATTATCTCCAATCAGATGACACAGCTGGAATGTTAAGAACTAAGCCAATAGTCTAATTATTATTTTCTTCTGTGAGCTTTCAGCCATATCTCATTAGGGGTTGAATTTGTTGTTTTCATATGCCTCAAAACTTTGAATTATGAATTTTTTTCCAAGAACATTCACACTAAATCAAAACATGAAAACATCTTAAGCATCCATTATAAGTTATTATCAGTTATTTATGCTGCATTTTACTGTCAAATCAGCAAATGTGTGTCTTAAAAGTAATTTGTTTGTGTTTTATTTTCATGCACAGCATGTTTTTTCAAATATCACGTAGGAAATATCTTCATTTGCATGTGTTTTCTTACGACGCACTCATGCTGAGCAGTCTTGGACACCACACAAATGAAAGAATGCATATGTGGACAGATGGCTTCCTGAGAGTAAATGGATGAACATAAAAATAAACACTGTGGCGATGAAATGGCAGAACTTGTTCAACCTGTCCACCTAAATCCACCTTCCTTTCAAACACTGCCACATTTAGAATTTGTGACTGATGATTCAGATTGTAATGACATTACACAGGTTATGAAATGCTCCCTAATATCAACATTAGTTTCGTAAAAGCCAACGGTTCTTTAGAATCGCACAAACCAACACACACAAAAACCAGGATTAGGTGAAGTTTACTGTCACTGTTTCACAGAATACAAGACATTTCATACTTGTGTGAAGTTTTTTTTGGCTTTTTATAACTATAGAGAGCAAGGTTTTAAGTGGAATACTTTGAGTCAGGATTTGTTAACTGACTCTTGACAATATAACCAACTATAGAAGGAGGATCGAGGTTTGTTACGGATCTAATAAATCCTTCACTCATTTCTCAACACTCACTTCACTTGACTTGACTTGCCCATTTTCTGTGATTGCTCTTAATTGAGCTAATACACAGTGAATGGATTAGGTGTAAAGCAAATAAATATTCTAAATCAGAATTTGAACTTTAGCAACATTGCACCCATTAGTACAGAACAGAGTGACCATAGAGGAGGAAAAAAACCCCAAAACAATAAAAACCTTGTGGCCACAAGATGATTTAACTCTTGCTTTACTATCTCATGGCCACAGGTTACTGTCTTGTACATTATGCTACCAACAAACTAGAAGAAACTTTCTGATTTGTGTGGTGTGGTATTTCTGCTAACTAACTCTGAGTCTTCTTGATTGACTTTCTCTAACCTGACAACAGACAAAATGCTGCTTACCTTCACAAGAAGATCAGGAAGTTGTATGAAAGCGTGAAACTGCTCAAACTGAGGTTTGAGCAGAACGGAAATAAGGCAACAAGAACAAAGCAGTAATGTTTCAGAGAGAAGGTGGAGTGAATGAGCTGTAGGTGTGTGTTTGTAGAGTGAACATGTCATTCTCTTATGACAGCACACGTTGCACCACCTTGTGCACATTTTCCCATCCCATTACTTACAGAGGGATGAAGTTGCTATAAACATCCTCCTGCTTGCAGAGGTGTTCAGCAGGAATTAACAATACGTGGGACAAACAGTTGCATGTTGTAACATAATGTAACAAAAATGAAACGAAAAAAATGTATTTGTTACGAACACCTCAACATTCTTGCTCATCCTAATTGAGTGAGGTTGGGTCATGTGATACATGACTTGTATTGTGTTTTTCTTTATTCTTAAGAAAATATCCATGTATTTTTATCTATATATATTTCTTTGCATTATCTTTTATGAATTATTCTCTAATATATTATTCGATGTATCTATTTCTATGTATTATCCTTTATGTATTATTTTTATGCACTTTTCTATGTATTTCTATTATTATTTCAGTTACTCTTGTGTGTTCTTGTTGTTGATCTATTTTTTACTTGACACTGTAATGCTTGTTTTTGATATTTCATTGTCTGGACCTCAGGAAGACTAGCTGACGTCTTGGCGTTAGCTAATGAGGATCCTTTTCACTAAACAAATGAAACCAGCTGGGAGAGGCTCCAGCAACGACTCAGCAGGACAAAGTGGCGACATGACGTCAAAACACAGCAGCCACCAAGAAGTGAAAATAAAACAAACACAACTACAAAAATGAAGTTTTATCACAACGGTAATAAAATCATTGTTCCCTGAAGTGTTCCCACTCTAATCTGTTAGCACAGAATAAATAGTTAAATAAGTGAGCTTTAACCCTTTGGGCCCTAAGCAGTTCCTACGCAGCGTCTTTATAGAAACATTGCAACTATGCCCATAAGTAGGAGGAAGAACTGAAGGTATGATACAGTTGATTTATAATGCCATAAATCATATAAAAAAAGAAAAAACAAAAGTTAAATGATCTCAATTCAAAAAACTATAAATATTTGTCTACTTACAATTTTGTTTGTTTCTATACTTCTATCAGTGGTGTGCCATCAGGCCTAAACTCTATCAGAATCACTGACTTACGTTTTAATACTTTACCATTAATCTTTTTACATTATTCCAATAGTCTATTCTCTTCATTTCATAGTGTCTCTGGGCTGTGGTGCTTCCAGCAGCGTCTGTTTATTTTAGAGCTTTTATCCAATCATATTTCAGCCATCATGTGTTGCCTGACAAGACTCAGGAATCGGATCCAAACGCAGGACTCGGGAGTGGTAACAAGCAAAAGAATTTATTCACAATAAGTATTCAAAGTACAACACAAAGATTCCGAGGAAGAGTCAAACGTTAAATGCACACATGAGGTAATGGGGAACAGGTGGACACAATTAGGGCGGGGATAACAACCAAGACAATGGGAACAAGAGCTGACAACCATAATATGGACACGAGACAACAAAATACAGGCGTCCAACAGAAACAGGAAGACAGCCAAAACAAAAGTCTAACTTGACCCCAGAGTGAACCATGACCGTTGCCAGGGTCACAGAAATCTGCCCTGAGGCCTTCAGAATCAAAAGTCCAGGCGCCTGTAGCTTAAAATACATCGCAATGAAACTGTTGCTTTAACCAGTCAGATTTTGAGTTGGTGGTCCCAGGGCCATCTAGCAGGCAAACAATAATGTCAGCATTTTCACATCCTCTGATTGGATGGTCAGAGGTCTTTGCCAAAGCTAGCAGTTCGTATCTGTAGCGACCTGCACAAGCTAAAACTTTATCGTAAAAGTATTCATAGCTGTTTTTTTTTTTTTTTTTTTTTTTTTTTAAGTTAAGCAAGCAGACATTCTCAGCCCTAAAGTGAATTAAAACTTATGCCAGAAACACGACTGGACAGACCCGACTTTCAGCATTAGCCTCCATGGAGGTAGAACAGGACTTATTGTTGGAAGTGAAACGCACAGATTGCCTGCTCAACAGAGTGATTGAACTGTGTATGATGAAAGAAAGGAGGATGGATTTGTGTTTAAATAATCCCAAGATTTGGTCAGTAAAATGAATTGTACTTACACTTATAGATATATTTGTCATCCTGCTGGATGTGATGTATATAGGGCAGCTGTGGCTGCAGTGACAGGAGACATGTGGAATAGTTTCTAATTTCGGATGCCACTGAAGGCCTAGATGTAAAATGCACGGCCTGCCACTGACTTCTATACTATATACGCCATACACAGCAGTTAAGTTTGTACCATGTACCAGCTAGTTTATAAACCAGTCCTGGTCCAGCATGTGTGGAGACCTGGGGCCTGTATTCCACATACAACTAGAGTCGAGTTACAGTAAAGTGAGACATCTTGTGCCCAGTAATTACACTTCAGTTAGTGAGATGACATCAATGTCATTTTTACACAGTTTAACTTTTTAAATTTTTTTTAATGGAAACAGCATAATATTATTTATTCTAACATGTCTGAATGAGATTTTTTATTTATTTTTTTTAAGATTTAAACTAGCGTACTTTATGAAGTAGAGCATTTTTGTTTAAGTCCTTTATGTTGTCTTTTTCAAAAGCTGGTTCAGCAATAAATGTATAGCATCTCCATCTAAGACATTGTGCTTTCCAGTGGTTCTTTCCTCAACTGCTTATTTTTTGTCTCTCTGCTTTTAAGGTTAATTAATTAATTAAGGTTAATTTTTTCAGTTATTATCTGTACTTTTAAATAATGGTTTAACATTTTCAGTCCTGTTTTTCTTGACAACAATAAATATCTGTAAAGTAATGATAATTGTTGCTGATTTAAATACAGTTTTTAAAAAAAGCATGATTTTAACATCAAATGTTGCAAAAAAAAAACCAGATTATAATTAGTAAAAATATGCATGTCTGATGTGGATGATATAGACACTTTAGGCCTGTTTTTTGTTTGTTTGCATTGCTTTTTAACTA